AGCCAACATTAAGTTGTTGGCAGCTATTGCTTTCCGGAAAGTTCTGCAATCATTTTATTGCTCCTATATTTTTTGAGAATTTAGAAAAAACATGTTTTGCTTGCTGTTTTCTATTATGTCCAAGCATATAACGCATGGGGTGTTTAGCCTTGAGGCTGAAGTTTAGCTAAAAAGCATTTTTTTTCTCTACAGCTTAAGTTCCTTTACTTACCTATAATGAGGTACATTAGAAGAAGTGCAGGCTGCAGGATTCTGTAGAAATCTTCACTCCATGACTGCCCTGTCCTCTTCCTGCTGCTAAACTTCTGGCACTGTTGGGGTTGACAACTTTGGGTCTCAGGTCTCAGCTGCACTAAATATGAGACCCAAAACTTGTTAACCCAGACAACACTAGAAGTTCAACAGCAGGAAGAGGACAGGGCAGCCATGGAGTGAAGATTTCAAAAGAATCCAGGAGCCTGCACATTATGGGACATACTACAATATAGGTAAGCAATGTAGCTAAAGCTGTAGAAAAAAACATGTTTTTAACTAATCTGAAAATGATTTTAAATGCTCCAATTAAAAAAAGAATTAAAATAACAAACATGCTTTACTTGTCTGCTCTGTGTAAAGGTTTTGTACATAGCAGCCCCGATCCTCCTCTTCTCGGGTCCCCCGCTGGAATTCCTCACTCCTCCCCCCATAGTGGGAGTACTTGCGCATGCTCACTTCTGAGCCCCACTCTGTGTCTGGACACACCAGCAGAGCTTGGCTCCGCCCCCTGATCCCTCCCCACTGACTGTGATTGACAGCAGCAGAAGCCAATGGCAAGGAATGCATTAAGGTAAAAGGAAAAAACCTTCTGCCTTTAGACCCACTTTAAATCCGAAATCCAGTGGGATTAAAAAAAAATCTACAGTTCTATATTCAGTAATACACCCTTACATTTATTTATTTTCTAATGCAAGCTTTGTAAGTACTTTCATTTGACCTGATATCAGCCTCTTGCAGCCTCTTTACAATGGAGCTCAGACTATTAGAGGGAGAAGCATCACATGGAGACAATCAGTTGTGTGTTAGTATTCAAGTGTTAACAAGAAACGCGCTAACAGCAGAAGAAGACAGAGTGACAGACTGAGAAGATCATCGGTCTGTCAGTTCTTTTTTCACTGTCCAGTCCCAGACTTGGGGAAGGACTTAAAAAAAATTCCAGCACTTAGCACTTGTTCATACTAGAGGCAAGTACTGACACTCTTCTGAATAGTGATCCATCGCTTCTAGAGGTATTTGACAGTATTTTACCTTTTTTCACCTCCTCACTGCCTGTTTTAACCCTCTAAATTGTACACGGTGGCCCTATCTACTTGAATGAGTGGTAGTGCTCACCAACCGCAGGTGGTATAATTCCAGTGTTTTGAAGTACATCATGTGTACACGCCACTGCAGCTAAAACAGGAGCGGTTAGGGGGGTAGTAAAAATGCTGCTAAACCATGCACATGCTGTATGCTATATTATCTACCCCTCTACTGTATATACTGTGCTGTATGTTATATAATTTACCCTTCTACAGTATACACTGTGCTGTATGTTATATTATCTACCCTTCTAAGGTATACACTGTGCTGTATGTTATATAATTTACCCTTCTACTATATACACTGTGCTGTATATGATGTAAAATACCCTTCTACTGTATATACAGTGATGTATATTATATAATCTACCCTTCTACAGTATACACTGTTTGTACCCCTCCTAGAGTATACACTGTGCTGTATGTTATATAATCTACCCCTCCTAGAGTATACGCTGTGCTGTATGTTATATAATTTACCCTTCTACTATATACACTGTGCTGTATATGATGTAAAATACCCTTCTACTGTATATACAGTGATGTATATATTATATAATCTACCCTTCTACAGTATACACTGTGTTGTACCCCTCCTAGAGTATACACTGTGCTGTATGTTATATAATCTACCCCTCCTAGAGTATACACTGTGCTGTATGTTATATAATCTACCCCTCCTAGAGTATACACTGTGCTGTATGTTATATAATTTACCCTTCTACTATATGCACTGTGCTGTATGTGATGTAAGCTACCCTTCTACTGTTTATACTGTGATGTATGTTATATAATCTACCCTTCTACAATATACACTGTGTTGTATGTTATATAATCTACCCCTCCTAAACTATACACTGTTCTGTATGTTACATTATCTACCCTTCTACTGTATACAGTGTGCTGTATGTTATATAATCAACCACTATATGCGGTACTGTGCTGAATGTCATATAAGCCATCCATCTACAGTATACTTTGTGCTGTATGCTATATAAGCCACCCTGCTACAATATACACTCACCATGCAGCTCTAAACCACATTTTGATGAATGTTATATAATATATATTGTGAATATATACAGTATACTGTATATATATACACACACACACACTATATTGCCAAAGGTTTTGGGACCTTTGGCTTTCCATGCACATAAACTTTAATGGCATCCCAGTCTTAGTCTGTAGGGTTCAATATTGAGTTGGCCCACCCTTTGCAGCTATAACAGCTTCAACTCTTCTGGGAAGGGTGTTCACAAGGTTTAGGAGGGTGTCTATGGGAGGGTTTGACCGTTCTTCCAGAAGCGCATTTGTGAGGTCAGGCACTGATGTCGGATGAGAAGGTCTGGCTTGCAGTCTCCACTCTAATTTATCCCAAAGATGTTCTATTGGGTTGAGGTCAGGACTCTGTGCAGGCCAGTCAAGTTCTTCCACCTCAAACTCGCTCATCCATGTCTTTATGGACCTTGGTTTGTGCACTGGTGTGCAGTCATGTTGGCACAGGAAGGGGCCATCGCCAAAATGTTCCCACAAAGTTGAGAGCATTAAATTGTACAAAATGTCTTGGTATGCTGACGCCTTAAGAGTTCCCTTCACTGGAACTAGGGGGCCAAGCCCAACCCCTGAAAAACAACCCCACACCATAATCCTCCCTCCACCAAACTTTACACTGGGCACAATGCAGATAGGCAAGTATCGTTCTGACAACCGCGAAACCCAGACATGACAAATCCAACATGACTGCACACCAGTGCACAAAGCAAGGTCCATAAAGACATGGATGAGCAAGTTTGGGGTGGAGGAACTTGACTGGCCTGCACAAAGTCCTGACCTCAACCCGACAGAACACCTTTAGGATGAATTAGAGCGGAGACTGCGAGCCAGGCCTTCTCATCCAACATCAGTGCCTGGGATGTCATTAACCTTCCTGGCGGTATTCCCGAGCGTAGCTCAGGGTAACGTTTCAGCACCACAAGCGCTAACCCCGAGCTACACTCAGGATTAGCGTTGCTCTGGGATCCCTTCTTCACTCACCTTGTCCTTCGCTCCTGCGATGTCCCCCTGCAGCGTCCCCGGTCATCTCCTCCGGCCAATGCCGGCATCCGTCTTCCGGGTTCCGGTCGTCAGGACGTACGGGGGACGGAACTGGCGGGAAATTTAAAAATGTGAAAAAGTGACAATCACTAAATACACTAAAATCACATAGTAAAACATTCCTGTATGAAATCATTTCACATACATTTTGTCCCGAGTGCTTTGTCCTGTGCCCTGCCTGCATTTTTACCTTTCTGCCTGGAAACTGAGAAACGTCCATGGCATCCAAAAAGTGTCCCTTTAGATCAAAAGTGGTTTTATACCAGCTAGAGAACAGCGATAGTAAATTAGAACCACTTGCAGAATTGAGTGATAATGATTTGTGGGGAAATTCGTCATCAGACACTGAAAACGATTTTGCGACTTTGCTCAGTGATGTGCGAACTTGGTGCTCTGTTTCAAATTTCAGTGTTTTTGGTTTGATTATATTATTGAAATAAATGTATTAATATTATATTATTATTTTTTATGATTATTTATTAAATTATAATTTAGGATTTCGTGTTTCAAATTTTAACATACCCGGAATGTTTACTAGACTCTTGTTCGGACAGATTTCAGTGAGTTATTCCTAAAAATTACAGGCCTACAATAAAAAAATTACATATTTACATGCAAAAAAATGTACCGCTTTGAGCACAAAAATATGGACATAATCAGAGCGCTAGGGAGGTTAAAGTTCATGTGCTTGTAAAGGCAGTTGTCCCAATACGTTTGGCAATATAGTGTGTATATATACTATGTATGTATATATATATATATATATATATATATTATACTTGAAGATCGCAGAACAGAAAGTTAGCAGACTATTGTAAGTGTATTCAGTGAGAGAATCTTTGTGACAATGAGTTTCTGTTCTGTCAGCTTTATAATCCGAATACATTATGTTATTCTGCCAGGCTCGCAGCGCAGAAGCTGTGTTCGGATATATTTTATCTCGCTGCCGTCTGCCCTTACACTGGCTTGATCCAGAACATGTTTGCTGCCAAGCCCTGTCAATTATTTTATTTTAATCTTTTCTCCTGGCTGATATAAGAAAACTTTACACTATTCTTTTTTCCTCTCACAGCACTTTGTTGTCGGCAATTTTTATATTTCATGATGTCTGCTAATGTTCTCTCTAAGCTGCTCTATACTTTGAATTTCAATATTCTGTATGTCTGGTGAATGGCACACCAGAGCCTTCCAATGGTGCACAATGTATTTCTGTTTTCTTACCTCCAAATTGAATAATGAAAAATTATGCTTTCTGGGGTAATTATAAGCATTACATTTTTAACAAACCTTATTGAGGATTCTTACCAGCTTCTACCTAGGCAAACCACCGCAGTGACTTTCTCTAAATCTAAAGTTAGAGGCAATACCCAGGACTCCTGCAGATTGATGGGCAATTCAGCACCATATTAGTTTAAAGAGGAATTCCAGGTATGGATATTTTATGCATAGTTACATTGGTCCAGCTTGGATCAAAGTAACTGTATATATCATGTCTGGCCAGTGATGCTGAAAATCACTGAGGTAGACCACACTACTCCAGCAGGGGCAGACTGACAACTCATGGGGCCCCCGGGCAACAGGGGATCATGGGGCCCCTGTGTCCTTGCCCAAACTCAAAAAAGCCTATGAAAAAGGTACCAGGGGCATCTCATGGGGCCCCCTAATAACCCCGGGCCCTCGGGCAGTGCCCGAGTTTCCAAATGGTCAGTCCACCCCTGTACTCCAGTGATCTCCGCTTCCAGGTCCTGTGCCAAATGACTTCCATGCTGCATTTGTAAACACAGGAGGTCAATCACTTCCCACCAGCGCCATTTATTTTCTAAATGAATACAAAGCATTCTCTGATTGGACGAGGTGGAACAGCAGGGTGGTGATGTCATACTCTCCACCTCATTCAATCAGAGAATGCTTTGCATTCATTACAAAAATGAATGGTGCTGGTGCCAAACCCATGACCGCCTATGTTCACAATGCAGCATGGCAGCCGCTCAATGCAGGACCTGGAAGCAAGTGGAACGCACTGGAGTAGTGGTGTATACTTCAGGGATTTCCAGCTTCCAGGGGCATCGGCCAGATATGGTGTATACATAATTACTTAGTTAGTCCAGATGAAAAAAGACACAAGTCCATCTAGTTCACCCAACAGAAAAAAAAAAAACACTCACACCAATAGAAAAACTCCCTAAACACAATCCTATTCCCACAGTTGATCCAGAGGAAGACAAAAAATCCCAATAAAGCATAATCCAAATTGCTCCAGTGGGGGAAAAATATCCCTTCCTGATTCCCAGGGAAAGAAACCAGATATTCTGTGGATCAACTACCCCTGATGTTATTACCTATAAATACAAGTATCCAGTTATATTTTGTGTATTTAGGAAAGAATCCAGTCTTTTTTCAAAAAACTACTGAGCTGGCCAAAACTAGTTCTTGAGGGAATCTATTCCACATTTTCACAGCTCTTACTGTGCCTTTCCATATCTAGATGGTAAATCTCTCTTCCTCCTGACATGAAGAGTGCCCCCTTGCCCTTTGCAATGGCCTTAGGCCAGTTTAACACAGACTTCAGCTTGTATAAGCGCAGTATAGGCTTCTATAAAAGTGTTACCAGGTTTTTGCAAAGCTTTCCGCAAGCTTTGAGCAGCTTTCTCTAAGTCTTTAAAGTGTCATCCGACTCCTGTTTGGAAATGTTATACACAGAATTTAATGGTAGAGTGCTGATTGTCACTTTATATAAGCTGCTGGCAGGCTTAAAGGGTAACTCCGCTTTCATGGGAAAAAAAAATTAGCACATAAAAAAATATATATATTGTATACAATTGTGACTCAAGATATATTGTAATTGCATGTTATTAACAATTACTTTTCCCTTTTCTGTAAAAATGCAATGCAATATGGCTACCTGGAGGCATTCTGTATACAGATGGTGTACAGAACGCCCTCTATAAATGTAATTTCCTGCTGAATGATTGGTTTACTGATTTCCCCAGATGTCTGCACTAAGAAACAAGTCAGATTTTTGGCATCCCCTACTACAAAAGTGTCATTTCTCTTTTGCAATCTGTCATTTGTTTGGTAGCATTGATTTTCTTTTGACATATTCTGTGACTTATAAATGATAGTGTTTCTTCAGGACTCTGGGCTGTGATTGGACAGCCGATCAGCAGGTCTCGGCCATGAATCATTTGCCGGGGCCTGCTGATAAAATCCCACTGTGTCTAATCACAACGTGTGAAAAGTATACCCTATGGCACTGCTCCAAGCTATGGATGGAAGGAAAATGATCACCTCAAGTGAGAAGAGGGGAGCATGAGTCCGAGCGATTCCAGTGTCAGCCAATACAAGTGAGGGGATTGGCGCTGCTCAACCGAACCCAGGCGTCCAATGTAAAGGAATGGCCTCAGCCGCCGTTCTGGCCATGCCCTTTGATGCATCTCGCCCAGCCCACTGTGGCTTGGCCACAGTATTCACAGCGGGTGACAATAGACAGGGGACCGTGCGTCCCCTGTACCTGGAAGAGGCCAGCGATGTACGGGTACAGGGTTGTGTATGTATGGGCTGCCCATCCTTGATCCTTAACTAGTTAAATTCTCTACATTTGCAGTTTAATAGCAGTCCTTGATTTGCAGTTCAGTGACTTTGCCTAGGCTGAGGCGATGCCTTTATTCTGCTGCAGGCCGGAGGAAGAATTTCCTCAATCTCTTCATCACCCGTGACCAACAACATTGTAACTTTGTAGCAAGTCACTGGGTGGGAGGCCGAAGCAGAAGCTAATCTATGTCAGACATTTATGAACATGAACTTTAACCAAATTAAAGTAGAAATTAGATGCAAAAAAGGGGATGCAGCGCTAATAAACTCTAACAATATTCAAATATAGATGTAAACACATACATAAAGTGACAAAGTGCAAATACATAGGCCACTGTGTAGTGGTCAAAGTGCCAAAGGGTGTGAACTCAATTGTACAGTCCAGAGAAGAAGAGGTGCTGTTGAGATTCCAATTAATCTCCAGATATCCAGTGATGTAGACCAAGGGTCTGGTGATAAATAATGGGATTGCGCACTCACCAGATACGCAATCAAACTGTGCATAAACAGTAGTAGGCCTCTGGTCATCCAGATGTCATCAAAGGATAGGTCTGGTCAGATCAGGTAAGGTCAATCCTCATCCCCTGGCGATGTTATCACTCATGGGGGGTCACCACTCAAATGGATACAGCCTGCTCACATGGGGTCCCTTCGCAAAGAATGTAGCCGGTTCTGCGAACTTGATTGGCTCCCAAAAGAGCTCAAGGAAACAAAGGAACCCACATAGTGCAGTATCATTTGAGATAAGCTTTATTCCATATAGGTAGTGTGCAATGAGGAATAATAACAGGAGTACTGACCATAACAACAAATAAGATGGCCGCCGGGGCCCCTCGTGGCACCGGCGGTGTAGCGTCCCACCTGCTGCAGCTATGCCCTGACGCGTTTCGAGTGACTGCTTGTAGTCATAGGGGTTCAGCTGTGCAGCGGGCGGACGCCCCTTAATTCTCTTTATAGAGAAAACCGTGCGTGCGCAGTTAACACGCGCCATTTTCCAAGTGCCGCATGTCTCCGCAACGGGCGCCATTTTGGCGTAATTAGAATTCCCATGGACTTGTATGAGGAGAGAAGAAATTCTGCAAACAAAACATGCCCTAGAAGGTATCTGCAGGACATGGCAGCCTTTCTCTACATTTTTAGCCAGGAGGAAACCTTGAAATAATTTTTAGGTTTTGGGGGAACCCAAAATGAATTATGCCTATAGCTCATGGCACATTAGTGCAATCGATAACTTGTGAAAGGTTTAAATTAAATTAAAGAAACAATAGTGTGGAATACCTAATGAAATAAAGTGAATAACAATTGATAAAAAAGACAGTAAAAAAATGTAGTTCTCTCTAACATTGGTAGTCACTGTAGATGGGGCATAGTTTTGCCGGTGTTCAAATCTCAAGGAACTCTAGGAGGAACATGGAAGAACCTTAGTTTGAGAGATGCCGGGATATGGTGTGAATGTGAATCCTTTTTTTTGTATCCCTCTTCTATCACTTCCAATGCACCTGGTGTGCCAATGATGAGGATTTACTATAAAGAAGCATTACGGGCCATTGCGTTCCGATCACACTGATTCCTCTATGAAATTGCAATTGGAATAAACTTTGTTTATCCTACATTTGCTTACTTAACATAACACAAAAACATTACATAAAGTTATTTGCAATTTAAAAATGAGATTTCATTAGATAAGAAGCAAACTCATACATTTCAAAGAGATTCAAATGCTTATTTACTGCATATGGCGGCCATTAAAGTGCAAAGCAGGAGGAAAATCATAGTGGAACATTTTTTTGCATTATAAAAGGAAACAAAAAAAGGTATTATTATTCCAACATACTGCATGTGCTGGCCATCAGTGAAAGGAGATTTCAATTATAGGAAAATGATACCCTTGGGATAAGAAATTTCATTTACTGAACGGCTGAGTAGAACCCTCTTTAAACAAAGACGGCCAGATAGCAAGGCTAATACCTTGTATCTGAACGAGTAGAGACAATTATGTTCTGCACAACTGACATACGTATCCAGAAGAACACACATCCATCATGCTAATAATTACTTCATTGTCTAAGCTAGACAAGGGAAGTAGAGGACCGTATTTCAAGGACCGCAGTGAACTGTAGTATTGCTTTATGAAAAAATGGTAATACATTCTTAAATCATAGTAGTAGTAGAACATAATAGATGCTGATGCAGATGAAACAACTTTAGCATGAAAGATACCATCCTGTCCTCAACGATGAAAAAAACCCCATTCCTGTCATAACAGTATATTTGTAAGATTTTAAAATAGGTCATTATCCAAATCAATGTATAATTCTATATGACACACCGAAGATTAACCACTAAAGAGAATATGCTGGACCAGGCATTCTCAACTTTTTTAACAAGAAAGAAACCTTGAAAGAACTTTCAGTCCTTAATGAACTTCTGCTAAAAAATGATTTTCTGTAATAACAATAAAAGTATAATGACTTAAAGTGATACTAAACAGAGAAGTGTTACTAAACCCTCAACAGTAAAATCAGTCTATATATGCAGTAATGCATGTTTGTTATAATCACTGTGGACCCTTAGGTTAATCCTCTGAATTGTGTAAAAAGGATGTTTGATCCTGTCTTCTCTGATATTCCCCTTCTTCCACAGTCCTCAATCCATCTCCTGATAGAACAGAGCCTTGGGGGCAAGTTGCACATGCTCAGTTTGGTGTGTATTGCTAAAGAGTTTTTCTTTTTCTTAGGGGAGAGCATGTGGTCAGCACAGGGCCAATCAGCATTGTCCAAACAGAAGGTTAGGGGTCCTGCAGTCTCATAAGACAGTCAAGGGAGAATGAAAACTACAAACGTTTACCACTACTCTGCTGGACACTGACAGAAGTCACAAGACTGCTCTAACTGCTGATGAAAAAAGGTATTTAGCAGTTTATATTTACTAAAGAATTGCATTTCCATGTTCTTTGTGTACTGTGGGAGACCAGATATAGTGAATGCAGGGTTTAGTAACACTTTAATTGCCAGAATTCTTTCACATAAATCATATATATCATGCCATTGTATTTTGCTTTTTATTTAAATTAACCTCCCTGGCAGTATTCCCGAGTGTAGCTCGGGGTTAATTATCAGTGCCAAAAGCGGTAACCCCGAGCTGCATTCGGGATTACCCTGCAGCGTTGCTCCGGGATCCCTGTTTCACTGATCGTATCCTGCGCTCCAGCGATGTCCCCCCTGCAGCGTCCCCGGCCATCGGACATACGGAACGTACAGGGGCTGGAACCGGCGGGGAATTTAAAAAATTTTAAAAAGTGACATTCACTCAATACACTAAAATCACATAGTAAAACATTCCTGTATCAAACCATTTCACATACATTTTGTCCCGAGTGCTTTGTCCTGTGCCCTGCCTGCATTTTTACTGTTCTTTCTGCCTGGAAACTGAGAAACGTCCATGGCATCCAAAAAGCGTCCCTTTAGGTCAAAAGCGGTTTTAGATCACTTAGAAAACAGCGATAGTAAATCAGAACCACTTGCAGAATTGAGTGATAATGATTCGTGGGGAAACTCGTTTATTATTATATTATTATTTTTTATGATAATTTATTATATTATAATTTATTTATAATTTATAATTTTGTGTTTCAAATTTTATCATACCTGGGATGTTAACTAGACTCTTGACAGATTTCAGTGAGTTATTCCTAAAAATTACAGGCCTACAATAAAAAAACAACATATTTCCATGCAAAAAAAGGTACCCGCTTTGAGCACAGAAAATATTGATATAATCAGACCACTAGGGAGGTTAAAAAAATAGTACCTTAGTCCTGCAGTTTTGTTGAGTGGTCACATGATCTTTCCCTATTCTTTGGCATCTGCTGGCAAGGATCCTTTGGAGGTGCGTCTGTTCACAATGTGCAGACTCCACCTGTAATCCGCTTGCTCAGCAGGGATCTAGTCTGCTTATCCCCACTGAGCAGGTGGATGACAGGTCCGTTTCTGCTGCGCTCCACTTATGCAGAGCGGACACGGATACTGCCTGCGCTCCTCTATGGGGCAGTCGAATGTAAACGATCCGCTTATCAGTTTACACCCAACTGCCATCCGGTTCGCTAAGTGGAAGGGGAACGGAAGCCCATCTGTCTGTGTTTTTAGTGGATCGGATTGTTTTGGATGTAGGTGGATGTAAACAGGCACATGTCTGTTTACACCCACTGCTCCATAGAGGAGAATGGAGGTTCTGATCGGGTCCACCTGGAAAACGGACAAGTGAACCTGATTGGAACGTTCGTGTGAAAGGGGCCTAATTGATGTAGGCTCTCTACATTGTGAGTCTGTGTCAGGCCCATGACTAAAAAATAACAGAAGAGCAATTTAAATGAAATTATAAATATTAAATATTTTTATAGCTCCCTATAAATCCTTTTTGAACATAAAATGTGTGGTTTTTGTGCTTTAATATGGTGTAGGTGGAGTCAAAGATAATTGACACTATTCATTTTGTTTGGCATCTGCATCCAAGGTGCTTTTTTTTTACTTTACAGGTATTAGCCAATTACATTTCATATATTTATTAATACTGATTTAATTAAAACTAAGGCTTTTTTTGTGAGTTTCTTAGTGAGATGTAATCAATCAACATACTAATATATCCGCTCCCATAATGTTAAAGCAAAAGGAGACATGGAAGAGGGGGGACACCCCACATAATGTGAAAATTTATAAAGTCACATTCACTGATAAAAAAGGGAGGAAATTTCTGAAGAGCATTAGAAGGAGTGAATTAGGACACATGCTCCGTAGAGGCAGCACCACCCGAGAACACATTCTTAGACGTGCAAATAGAGACACCTTTAGATGGAAGGTACAGCTGGGAGGCAGGATCAACAGAACCACTTTGGTATATTTTGATAATGATTCGTAAACTCGTCATCAGACAAAAACACATGCTTTGAATTTGCTTTAATGAGTGTGCACACTCCATTATATAGCATGTAAAGACATTTTTTCATAGTCTAGATTAATGACAATGTTTATTATGATGATGAAAATAATGATGAAACATAATTACACGCATTTATAGATGAAAATTTTGTTTGATTCCTCAGACTGGTGGTCAGATTTCAGAAGTCCTGCCTTTCACCTAATGGTCTACAATAAAAAAACCTCTTTAAAATGGTGGTCATTAGAATAAGAGCTCCTTCACAATGGTTTGAATAATCAAATCGCCTAAAAAAGCTCAGTTGTAGACATTGTTATTTTCTCTGGTAAATGAACATTCTTTGGCATTACTAACCTTTGGAGGTGCGTGTTCACAATGTGCAACTCTTACCTGGAACCCCCTCAGCAGGGGATTTTGCTTATCCTGGTTGAGAACTGGCTATTCAGACCCGTTTCTGACTGCGCCCACCATGCAGAGCGGACTCATCATACAAGACCCTAGACACCTATGAGGTCGAATGTAAACGATCCGCTAGTATAGTTTACACCCAACCAGATCAGAAGTGGATGGGGAACGGAGCCTGTACACTGTTTTTAGTGGATCGGATTCCACAAAAGATTAAACAGATTTCAGTAAAGTTTAACCTCTCTCATAGTAGAAAGGTTCTGATCTTCCAAATTAGGGTGGCAATAGGAAAATGAACCTGATTATTCGTACCTAATTGATGCAGTCTCTACATTGTGATTGTGTAAAACCATTACTTAAGAAAAGCCTGAAGAGCAATTTAAATGAAAATAAAATTAAATATTTTTTATAGCTCCCTATAAATCCTTTTTGAACAACAATGGTGGTTTTTTGTGCTTTAATATGGTGTAGTGTGGAGTCAAAGATGATTGAAAAAATTTCATTTTGTTTGGCATCTGCATCCAAGGTGCTTTTTTTTACTTTACAGATATTAGCAATTACATTTCATATATTTAATAATGATTTATATTAAAACTAGGGGGGGGGGTTTGTGTGGGTTTCTTAGTGAATGTAATCAATCAACATACTAATATTCCCGCTCCCATAATGTTGCTACTCAAAAGGAGACATGGAAGTGGCCAGGGACAAGCCCGGGATCTGTGACTCTATAGTCATCGTGGGCTGATAAAAAAAAAGGAGGAAATGAACCTCTAGAAGGGAGGGTGAATTAGGAACATGCTCAGTAGAGAAACCACCGTTAACACATTCTTAGACTGCAATAGAGACACAATGATGGGTACAGCTGAAGGCAGCAACAAGGTATGATTTTTTCCCACAAAACACATGCTTTAATGGCTTTATGAGTACACACTCCGTTATATAGCATGTAAAGACATTTTTTCATAGTCTAAATTTAAGACTCGTTTTTTGATGAAAATAATGACCAGAAAACAAAATTACACACAGTTAGTGAAAATTGTGATTCCTCAGACTGGTGGTCAGTGAAGTCCTGCTTTCACTAATGGTCAGTGGAAAAGAACCTCTTTAAAAATGGTGGTCATTAGAATAAGAGCTCGTTCCACAATGGTTTTGATCTTTCAGATGCCTAAAAAAGCTCATTGTAGACATTGGTTATTTCTCTAAAAAGGAAGAATTACTAACTGTTCATGGAACCCTGGCAACCTCTTAGGAACCCCTTAGGGTTTCATGGATTCCTGGTTGAGAAAGGGTATTCTAGACCATGACACCACCAGCAGCTACTTATCATACAAGACCCCTAGACACTAGGAGGAGTGTAAGCACTTTGGATAGTATAGACCCCACCAGATCAGAATGATGTTGACCTAGATACACTGTGGCTGTCCATTCCACAAAATTCAAATCATTGGATTCAAGTGTTCCAATCACCTCCATGGCCACAGGTGTATAAAGTCAAGCACCTAGGCATGCAGACTGCTTCTACAAACATTTGTGAAAGAATGGGTCACTCTCAGGAGCTCTGTGAATTCAAGCGTGGCACCGTGATAGGTTGCCACCCGAGCAATAAGTCCACCCGTGAAATTTCCATCCTACTAAATATTCCATGGTCAACTGTTAGTGGTATTAGTGGGGTTACTGGGGTCAGCGCATGCTGAAGTGCACAGTGCGCAGATGTTGCCAACTGTTTGTAGAGTCAATAGCTAAAGACCTTCAAACTTCATGTGGCCTTCAGATTAGCACAACAACAGTGCATAAAGAGCTTTATAGATTGGTTCTCCATGGCCGAGCAGCTGCATCCAAGCTTTACATCACCAAAGCATGCAAAGCATCGAATGCAGTGGTGTAAAGCACACCACCACTGGACTCTAGAGTAGTGGAGACGTGTTCTCTGGAGTGACAAATCAAGTGTCTCTGTCTGGCAATCCAATGGACGTTTCTGTGTTTGGCGGTTGCCAGGAGTTGGCTTCAGCAAGGGTCACAAAATAAAGATGGTCAGTGCATATAAAAATGAGAAGCAATACTCATAGTAGAGAATAAAAAATGCAATGGACTCCAAGACGTACACTGTTTATGTTCCTGCTCTGAACACTGTAAAAAAAAAATAGCAGCAGCTTTACTTTTCTTTTGTCTTAAAAAATAGGTTTAACTAGGTTCCTACAAAATAATAATAATTCTTATTCTCAGCCCCCACATTTAGAGTGGGAGAATTACTAGCAAGAATCTCTGTAAATCAATGAGGTGGCAAGGTTGAGAAGTCAATTGGAAGCAACAGAAATTTTAATAAATGTAGAAGAATCAGATAACATACAAACAGTGCTCCAGGTTGGAACACCTTGACTAGCCCTTTAAACATACTATTAGGTGCAAGTCTGGTTTGCATCCATGAATACTTGTATACATAAAAGAAGGTTGACTGCACTCCAAAAGATGGAACATCCAGTGAAATTTAACGAAGAAAGTCCATAATATGAGCTGTGATGTTTGTTATTATGGATATTATGCATTAACTCTCAGGATTTTCCATCTATTGGAGTGTGGTCAACCTCTTTTTATGTATTCAAATGTGGAAGAATGTACATAGTCTATAAGTTCAGTACACACTGCCAGAATTGACATAAGGGTGGGTCCTTGGTAGGACCTTGTGAAACTATCAAGGCCCCTTTTTGTCATGGAGACTAAACCTTACCTAGTCTTTGTAAAGATGTAAACTGTGTGTGTGTGTGTCTCTCTCTCTCTCTCTATATTATATATATATATACATATATATATAGTTGTGTTCAAAATAATAGCAGTGTGTTGAAAAAAGTGAATAAAGCTCAAAATCCTTCTAATAGCTTTTATTTCCATACACACAAATGCATTGGGAACACTACACATTCTATTCCAAATCAAAACATGAAGAAAAATATATCAGATTTGTGTTGTTCCTCTAAAAAGTCTGAAGAAAATATTAAACTGTTCAAAAAATAGCAGTGTTTGTATTCTTCTTTACAAACTCAAACATTCACTATATAAACTGAAAAATGTTTGAAGATTTTGCTTTCCTTTGAATCACTTAATGAATATTTCGTTGTATAAGCACTGTTTCTGAGAACTGCTGTACATCTGTGTTGCATGGAGTCAACCAACTTCTGGCACCTGTGATCAGGTATTCCAGCCCAGGATGATTGGACTACATTCCACAGTTCTTCTCTATTTCTTGGTTTTGCCTCAGAAACTGCATTTTTGATGTCACCCCACAAGTTTTCTATTGGATTACGATCCAGGGATTGGGCTGGCCACTCCATAACGTCAATCTTGTTGGTCTGGAACCAAGATGTTGCACGTTTACTGGTGTGTTTGGGGTCGTTGTCTTGTTGGAACACCCATTTCAAGGGCATTTCCTCTTCAGCATAAGGCAGCATGACCTCTTCAAGTATTCTGATGTATTCAAACTGATCCATGATCCCTGGTATGCGATAAATAGGCCCAACACCGTAGTATGAGAAACATCCCCATATCATAATGCTTGCGCAACCATGCTTCACTGTCTTCACAGTGTACTGTGGCTTGAATTCGGTGTTTGGGGGTCGTCTGACAAACTGTCTCCGGCCACTAGACCCAAAAAGAACAATCTTACTTTCATCAGTCCACAAAATGTTGCGCCATTTCTCTTTAGGCCAGTCAATGTGCTCTTTGGCAAATTGGAACCTCTTCAGCACACGTCTTTTTTTCAACAGTGGGACTTTGCAGGGGCTTCTTGCAGATAGCTTGGCTTCACATAGGTGTCTTCTAATTGTAACAGTACTCACAGGGAACTTTAGACCTTCTTTGATCTTCCTGGAGCTGATTGTTGGCTGAGTCCTTGCCATTTTGGCTATTCTTCTATCCATTTGAATGGTAGTTTTTTTGCTTTCTTCCACGTCTTTCAGGTTTTGGTTGCCATTTTAAAGCATTTGCGATCATTTTAGCTGAGCAGCCTATCATTTTCTGCACTTCTTTATATGTTTTCCCCTCTCCAATCAACTTTTTAATCAAGGTACGCTGTTCTTCTGAACAATGTCTGAAACGACCCATTTTCCTCAGAATTTCAGAGAGAAATGCACTGTAACCAGCATGTACAACATTTGCTGCCTTCCTTCCTTAAATAAGGGCAATCATTGCCACCTGTTTTTCAAAGAATGAATGACCTCACTAATAGAACTCCACACTGCTATTATTTTGAACATGCCCCTTTCAATGAGTGATTCAATTACACAGAATCAGCAGCATGCATGTCATGACTGTTGGGGGACTGTTGGATTTCTATTACTCTACTACACACCTACTAGTAAATTATTTGTCTTGTAGAAATATCATTTCTACCAAAAACAGTGATTGATCAGGTTAGTGATGTCTGACTGCTATTATTTTGAACACAACTGTATATATATATATACAGACCTGGAGACCCAACCTAGTGTGATCAGGTGCTTTTTACCACTTGCTGGAGATTCTTGATGAGAAGTCCTCCCAGGGGATTTCATGTGTTCCTTCCAAATGGATTCCATACAAGAAGACTTCTTAGTCCCCCATGTGGAGTAAGTAAGGCCTGAAAGAGAGTGATTGCTGGAAGAGACTTTCCAGTACACTTTTATTATTGTGTGTAATGAAATGAGACTTTATAAAGGTAATGAAGACAAGGGGTTTGACAAAAGCCAACAGTTGAGTTCTAGGAATGAGCAGTGAAGTGAGGAGAACTGAAGAACTTGGGTGGGAGGGGGAGCCAACCAAATCTGGTGACTTGTTTGACAGGAATCATTGCTTCTCCCGTGTTAAGTTGTTTGAGAGGAAATGGGTAAGAAGTTGGTGACTGCAGCAGGAGAGGAACCAGGTAAAAGTTGTAACAAGTTTAAAGTGTTTACTATACCATTTAAATCAGTCTGTATATGCAGTAAAGCATGCTTGTTATACTCACTGTGGAACCTAAGGGGTTAATCCTTCGCACTGTGTAAAAAGGATGTTTGACCCTGTCTTCTCTGATCCTTCCCTTCTTCTGCTGTCCCCAATCCAACTGCTGGTAGAACAGAGCCTTGGGGGCTTTTTTTCTTGGGAGAGTGCATGTGTTTAGCACAGGGCAAATCAGCACTGTCCAGACAGAGGGATAAGGGTTTGCAGCCTCATAGCACAATCAGAGGAGGAAGAAAACTCATCCTACAAGCTTTAATCAGTGCTCTGCTGGACACTGATAGAAGTCACAAAGCTGCTGTGACTGCTGATGAGGAAAGGTATTTAGCAGTTTATATTTACTAAATTAATTGCATTTCCATGTTCTTTGTACTGTGGGAGACCAGATTTAGTGAATGCAGGGTCCTCTGTTTAGTTAAACTTTAAACCTCGGTGAGGTCCTGTCCTGACAAAGTGAGAAGACTGGTTAAGGTACACTATATATGGGGCCTGAGATGCACTGGACCCATCTGCTGGGATAGGTGAAAGATGGGCTTGCTAAACTGTTGAAAAATCAAATTTTACACAATGGCCTGCTACCCTGTTTACTATCCTATTTAGCAATTATACTGTACATCATTTTAGCAAACATTTTTCATGTGTTTGTCAAGATCACACCTTTGTCCTCTTGGAGCAAACATGCTGGGTCCAAAGACAGTACTGAGGGCTAAACCACTCACTGACAGTTTTTTTTCAGGTCAGCTGCTTATCAAATATCTATACCATTTCCAAGCATTTAATACATTTTCAAAAAAAATAAGAAGAAGACAGAGGTGACTGCTTGCTATCCTTTTATTTTTAATGTGAGCACTCAATGCAGAAGGTTATAAACTGATATAAGCATGCCAGTAGGGTTACCAGCTAATCCCTTTAAAAGCTGATATATATACATTGTGCAGGTTCTGCTTTTTTCTATGATTTTATTGATTTTTTCTGAATCTAGATGTAACAAGAACATATCAGAAAAGCTAAACAGTTTTTCATTAACCACCCGAAGAACTGCATGGTTCACCCCCATTATCAGACCATTCATCGGTTTTCAGTCATGTCCCAATTTGACCGACCATTGCTCCGTCATGCAATCCTGAACCTGTATGAATTTTATATAATTTTTTGGAGACAGATACAGCTTTTTTTAGGTGGAATTAAAAAAAATCACTGTTTTAATTTTTTTTACTCTGTTCACATTTAAAGAAAAAAAAAAAAAGCATGTGCTTTGTGTTTATAAAACATATCATATAACATTGCCAAGACAGTACAAAAACTCCCAAAATGACCCCAAAAAGCAGAGACCCCAATGTGATCACATGTTTTGCCATTATGTTTTGGAAATGAAGAAACATGCTGGTCAATGCATGGTGATTAGTGGGATTTTAAGTCATCCCATTACAAGGCACAGAACCATTCTGATTGGCTCTGTGCATTTGTCTGTAATCTTTGCTGTCCAATGACACATGCCCTGAAACAAGGACTTTTTGAAGCATCCACCCAGCAGCAGGTCAGGAGGTGGTTAAATTTATATATAACAAAGGTTTATCAGAAAATTTTAAATATGATTTTAAATGTATTCGTCAAGCACAGTTAAAAGAATATAAAATTAGAGAAATAAAAGCAAAATGATTAAAATAAGGTGTTATAAAACTAAATAAAATGTAATAAAGCAAGTGCAACCAACTAATTGTGTCACTAGAATTGAATTATGTTATGCAATCTGGATTTTGTATGGAAGAGATACTCATAGTACAGTATGTTGAACCCTATAATCTGTTCTATAAACTGCAATTAGTTTAATGTTACAATAATAGGTTCTGTCAGCACTCATTCACTATGCCAGCTCGTATGTTTTCAAGTATGTGACTTTGTAATAAAAAAAAAAAACATACCTTGGTCTCTAAACTAACACTTTTCAATTCTCCGAAGGCTTCATGCACACTGGTAATTTGCTCAGCTTTTCTGAATGCCATTTCTCCTCACACGGCCCCAGGTGCCCTT